CCTTTGTGCATGATTCTGATACTTCAACTTCGCAGTTTGTTGTAGGCTACTGAGGATTTCTTCTTTGAACTTCTTCCCTCCCTCCCTCCCTCCCCTTCTTCCCTCCTTCTATTCCTCTTCCTCCCTCCCTCCCTCCCTCCCCATATTCCCTCCTTCTATTCCTCTCCCTCCCTCCCTCATTCCCTTCTTCCCTCCTTCATTCCTTCTCTCAGTCCCTCTATTTATTCTATTCCCTCCCTCTCTCCCTCCCTCCCTCCCTCCCTCCCCCTTCCCTCTCTTTCCCTTCCTCCCCCTCCCTCTCTTTCTCCTTCCCTCAATCCCTTCCTTCTTCCCTCTCCTCCCCCCTCCCTCCTCTCCCTCCCTCCCCATGCCTCTATCTCTCTTTCCCTCTTTCCCTCCCTCCCTTCCTCCCTCCCCCCCTCCCTCCCTTCCTCCCTCCCCCTCCGAGCCGAGTGTCCACTTTATCATTCGCGCTCAGTTTGTTATCTTGTTAGTGGCAGCGTAGTGGAGGGAGGGTGGGGGTACTGGCAGGGGGGGGGAAGTGGAGGTGGAGGGTTGAGATAGGTGGAGTTGGGAGATGAATTTGGGGTCGCGGGGGGGGGGGGGGGAGATAAGGTGGAGGTGGAGGGGTAGAGGCGAGGGTTGAGGTGGAGGTGGAGGTGGAGTTGGGAGGTCGGGGGTCGAGAAGTGGAAGGGTGGTGGAGAGGAGGATGGGAGGAAAGGTGGAAGGGGAGATGAGGTTAAGGTGGATCTGGAGATGTTGGTGAAAGTTGGAGGACGGCATTGGAGGGTGGAGTGGATGTGAGAATTGAGGAGGAGGTGGAAGGGAAGTTGGGAGAGGAGGTGAAGTGGAAGAGTGGAGTGAGGGAGATGGTGTGGATATTGTTATAGATGAACGTGGAGGGGTTTAAGTGTTGGTGAAGGGTGGAGTGTGGAAGATGGTGCGTAAGTTGCTGGAGGTGGACGTTGAACGGTGGAAGTGAAAGGAGGAAGTGGAGAGGTGGCGAGAAGGTGGAGATGGGTGGTTAGAGAAGGCACCCTCATTGCTGGTATCTATAACCCCTACGATTCTATCTATATTTTATTAGCTACACCTCCCTCCCTCCTTTCAAATAATCGAAAAGCTCATATGTGCTCACAGACAATCTAACTCATTCAAAGCCTAATGCATATTGCCCATACGAAATAGATCAAAACGAATTATTTCCTCATGATGGCGTGAGTAAGTCGATCCCAGCGCCATCTACCCGCCATCTGGTCAGCTGAAACAGGAGAGTCATTCATGGCAGAGGCGTTTCGTATGTGGTCGTGAGTCATGCGATAAATCCGGATTAAGTCGTTATCTCTCTTTCATGCGGAAAAATAACATGACTCAAAACACACACATTACACACATACACACACATGTATTCATACACGTACATACATACCACACGTACACATAGGACGAGCTCACAATGTAAAACTAGTTTTATATTGTGGGCTTTTCTACCATAGTATCAACAAGGTAGAGTGTTTTCACCATTCATAGGACGACCTATTACATCAAGGGCGAAGCGAGATGGGATGGACACTAGCTAATAATTTCATTATTGCAAAATGATAATAATAGCAATAATAATAATAACAATAACAATAACAACAATAATAGTGATAATAATAATAATGATAATAAAAACAAAAAATCACTCATTCTTTCAGACTTTTTCACCATTTACTTATTAAGAATACATCGCAATCAGCCGTTACTTTCCCACCCTTCTCAATATTAATGGGTGAACTGCCACTATCACAATGCGTGCACTGTACCCAGTCGAATCGAGGGGACCAACCTAACGCTGCAGTGCCCTAGCTGTACCCATGTTGCACCGTGACCCTCTGCAACATTGAATTCATGCGTCCTTCGCTTACACAAACTGAACTACAGGTCTCGCTGTATCTAAGGCAGGTCGCCCGTAGCAGTAACGGGAGAAGGGGTCGTGGAGAGAAAGGACAGGAAGGAAAATGAGAGAAAGTGAGGGAGAAATGAGGGGAAGTGGGAGAGGGAGAAATGGTTGGCACTCACACCCACATATACGCACACACATACACATATTTGTACATGCATATTCATAAATACGTATATATATGTATATGTATATGTATATATATGTATGTATGTGTGTGTGTGTATAAATAGATAGATATATAGATAGATAGATAGACAAATAGATATGCATATATATATTTATATATATATATGCATATATAAATATATATATATATATATATATATATATATATATATATATATATATATATATATATATATATATATATATATAAAATATATATATATATATATATATATATATATATATATATATATATATATATATATATGTATATATATATATATTTATATATATATATATATATATATATATATATATATATATATATATACATATATATATATTTATATATATATATATGTGTGTGTGTGTGTGTGTGAATACAC